CCATTGCAATTCTTTTGGCAGCCTCATCGTGAGAATTGCGGCCCTGGTATCCACGGAAGAATTCCATGATGCCGTAGTAGTCTGTAAATCGGTTGTCCATGGGAACAAAGTGCTTCCATGGCACCAGACGAGAGTCATGCCACTCACGGAAGATGGTTGACTTGATGGGGAGTGAAGTAGATCGCAGAAACCCTAGGTATCGGCCAGAAAATGAGTTGCCGTCAATGTCAGGCAAGAACTTATAGTTGAACTGCTCGCTCAGCTTGATGCCATCCATGGCTTTGAAGTAAAAGTCGGTATAGTTGCAATAGTTCCCTTGATCAGGGGTGTTGCACATGAGGTCGATGAACCCAACATCGGCGAACTCGTCAACCCAAGGTCCCAGATTTTGGTCTGCATGAGCCTGCACGCCATATTCCTTCTCCGGAAGAACAAAGTTCTCTGCCCTGTCCGCACCAGACTCGACACGAGCGACCTTGGTGCCATTGTTCATGGCAACGAACCGATGACGTTGGAAGCCGCGCCAATTGTCCTCTGTGTTTCTCCCACCAGTCGCCACACCGCGCCATATGGCTTTATCGGTCTTCTCGGGCCATTCAATACCGTGGTCACCGTTACCGACAAAACGCTCTTCTCCGCTGTAGTACATGGGTGCTGGAAGGAGAATCTCATTGTTGACAGTCAGCTTGGAACCACCAAACATGGGAAACATCACCTTGGTGGATTTGGTCGACAAGGGTCGGATGAGAAGGCCCTCCAGGCCTTGCAAATCAGGCTGATGACACACTTGGATTGACTTGGTATAGTTGGAAACGTAGCCTTTGTAAAAATGGGGTTTAGCATATGCATTGCTAATAGTTGGAGGGTCTTGGAAAGAGGTCTGAAGCTCCGTGGTCCTCGCAAGACTGTTGGGGGGGCAGCCACGCCGAACAATCTTCCAGTAGAATTCTATGGTGAGCTGGTTAGTTTGTGCCTCTATTCAAAGAATCGAATCAAACCAGCCACAGTACCGTTGACACTTACCATCCGTCTCCCAATTCTTATCAACAATGTCACCTGCTAGAAAGCCGGTCTTTGGTTCGGGCCAAGAGTGAAATTTGTTCACCGTCTTGGCAGCTTTTGGAAGCTTTCGTGTATGAGAGGCCTTCTTCATATATGCGTTGATATCCTCCCATGGGGCAACCAGTCGAGGTTCATCCATGGCATTAAGAGCTATGTCCATGTCGGGAAGCAAAGCCTCGATAGTCTTGGCCATGTCGAGCCAGATCCTAGTCCACATCCAATCGGACCCAGCCGTGGCTGTGCCATTACGAACATTGATAGTCATTTCAAACTGGCTAGCCTCGCGGCGCATCGGTGCAGGGTCGATGCCCCAGAATGGTTCCAAGTCTTCGTATATCTGGTCAAAGAATGCTTCTACAATCAGAGCATTGTGTGACTGGGCGTATTCGAACCATTTGTCAAAATGTGGAGGAGGATGCCTTCCACGAGCCTTGCGATAAGCCTGGGCAGCCTGCTCCAATGTTTTTGATTCGCCAGAAGATATTGCTGCAAACTGATGCTGAGCATCATAGATAAGCTTGTCTATCGGGTGACGGCCCTCTGAGTCAACAGTCGGTACAGTCCCTTCCGGTCGCCTGGTGCTGTCCGGCCTCAAAGGTGGTTTTACTGAATCTGAGTCGGTCGACTGGCTCTTGTCGGTTTTATCGTCATCAGCAGTGGTTCCCTTGCTTCCCCCAGGAGGGGGGTTCACGGTCAGATCAAAACTAACCAGGTCTTCAGCGCGTTGGTGAAATTTCCAAAACGCTACCAAGAGAATGAAAGCTAAGACGGCGTAGCGAAGAAAGTGTGACCGCCGCCGTACGAAGGGCCCAGTGAACAACATCTTGGACATTTTGTCTTCTTTGGACAGGCGAAGAATGTACTCCTTGGCCAGGGTCTCAATTTGTATTTCTGTATGTCAACAGTATCTGTCGTAGTAGTACAGACGGTCGAAGACTGCCTTTGATGGCCTCGGAGCTCGGAGCGATCGTCGCCTGATGGCAGAGGCGACTCGAAAGTTGTCGATGTGAAGCTGTTTGGCGACAGTTCCCGGGCGCAGGCGGCGAGAAGGGAGTTGGTTGAGTCCACTGGGATTTTTGGCGATTGTCCTGGCTAGCCTCATAGGCTTTGGGTAATAGCGAACACGGGCTACGCGCCAAGCTCAGCCTGTAAGTCTGTAAGTCTGTACAACGCAAGCCCAGGCATACAAGACGTTCCGTGTCTTCGAGGTCGGCGAGGGCAACGCCCGGTTAAGGAAGCATCGTAGACGAGTGTGTTCTGCAGTTCGTCAATCAAGTGGGCGAAGGGAGCACAACATCAGGTGGCACCACGGCGTAGGGCTGCTCTGCAAGCTTCAATGTTTAGTTGGTTGGAACCATCAAACGGCGCTCCGTACTACCTCCACCATTCCTTGACCAGATGGATGAATGAGTAATGAGTCCGGGGCCCCCTGGTGCAAATACTACTAGTAGTAGAGACTCCAGCAAGCATTGCAATCCCAAATGCACGCTAAAGCTCGACAGCGGAGCCCATGGAGAGGATTTAGGAGGGTAGACGCCGCTGAGAGAAGCACAGACCACGGACAAAGAAGGTTGTGGAGCGGTGCTTCGTACGGATCACAGAGTTCTCGAGCGACGAGACCGAACAATGAAGATTCCAGCAATCGATCCAGGATTGAACACGTGACATGGCAGGTCTTGCAGCTTGCAGCTTGCAGGCAAGAACTGCGGGCCAAGGGCAGATTGAAACAAAGGCAAGGGCGCGGCAAGACTTGAGCGGTTCTTGCCCTCACCAATAAACTTGCGGAGTAGTACTCCATACTATTACGAGTACTAATAGAAACCACATGTGCAGCTTTATTGTTAACGGTCAACGGCGGTCCATTGACAGCCCCAGCACGGCGCCACACGCATATGTAAGTCTTGTCGTCTCGAATGGCACGACACCTAGTGCATGAAGGTACTATACGGAGTAGGTAATCTGGGTAAAATTTCCAGTCCTGCGAGCCCGGCCAAAACGCGGCCACGCCATGACAAGCGTTGGCTTCATAATACTAAGGAGTCTGGTGCCTGACTATCACTCACCCCCACTGACTCAAGACCTTGCAGAAATGACTGCTCCTGTCATGGATGCGGGAGCCAAAAGTTAAATGGTGAAGCGCTTTTGTTTCACGCTTATTGGATGCCGTAGTAGTACTACTACATACCGAAGTACCAGATATTACAATGTCGTGAGGTAGGTACTCAAGTAGGTATGTACGGATCATATTACGAAAAGATTAGTGATTACTAGTAGTACGTACTGTTATTTCGATTGACGCTATCGCGTTGCAGGTATGCCACAGTAGCAGTAAGACAAATTGAGATGCGAAGACGGAGGAATGCCAACTAGCGCCCCTCTTATGCCGATTTATGCGTCGGAATTGGGGTCAAAATGATGACCCCGATTCCCTGCTCGATGTTGCGGCATCTCTTGACAGAACCCTGTACTGCGAAGTAAGTTCGTCTGTCAGTCAATGCTCATGAGGTAGTAGTAGTATGTAACTACTCCGTACGCATCGGCAGTTGAAGCTCCCACCTTGAACCTTTAAATGTCAAGTGGGTACGGAGTAGTACATACATCGACTTGTCTAGTCTGCCCCCACCGCGCTGACCTTGCTTGACACGTTCAACCTGTTCCACCCCGCCATGCAAGTCGCGTCCCCATTGCCTTTGACGACAGTGAACGAGCTCAAGACTGGGAAGTGGTGACGTTGCTGTCACAAGGCATTGAGGACCTCGCACCAGCCCAAGATTAGCAAGCCTAAAGACGTGCCCGGCGTCAGTCGGCTATTTGCCCATACTATTTGACTTTTGGCGAGTGCGCGCACATTCAACGCGCCCTTCATCATAACATCATCATAATGTCCATCTTATCTGGCCATCTTGAACAAATATCATACTCGTGTCAAGGAATAGACTCCTTACCGTAATACGCCTCCAACTACCCTTTTTTTAGAGGGGGAATTCAACAACAGGCTGACCTTTTCTCAGTTTCCCGCCACCAAAGCTCTTCACAAATGCTCTCCTCTCGAACCATGACATCACGTCTCTGATTAGAGACACGGAAGCTCACGAACGAGCTCTCTTTTCCGTTCCGCCGCCTCCGCCTCCAGCTACCCAGAGCCGTCGCAGCGCCGAACCTGAATCCAAATCCAAGGGCAGACGCCAAACAGTTTTCAATGTCGCATCGGGTGAAGTAACGACCGGTCCCCCGACCCGTGCGTCCTCGAACCCTCGCCGCCACACAGCGGTCGCTGCCGTCCTGGGCGGCGAGATGCACTCTCAGCTCCGGCGAGGAGAGACGGATCGCAAAGGCGATGTTGACGTTGAGATTTTGCTACGCGGCGCGGAGAAGCTTTGCGGCGTCTATGAGCTGCCTGGTGCGAGGGACCGCATTTCAGCACTGCGAAACAAGCACCGCAATGGAAAGAACACAACGGCATACTACGAGGCAAGGGTAGCCGAACAGGCTGAGCAGCTGGCCAGCATGAACAAGAGCTGGATGGGCGAGGACGGAAGCGAAGAAGATGACGCTGGGGATGAAAGCGAGCTTTGGACGGAAGAGGACCTGCGACGGGAGGAGGCCGAGGCAAAGGAGATGGAAGCAAAGAAGAGGGAACTTCAAGCAAGGCTGCGGCAAATGGAGAAGGATTTAGGAGGACTTATGGATTTGTGATGACGAACAAAAAGGTTGACGATGCCACGATACCCGGTTCAGTTGTATATACAACCCGCACATCTGAAAATACACTACAAGAAGCAAACGCACTCACTCAGTACATCGCTCGCCAGGGCTCGAATTCATACCCGCCACACTCTCCTCGTCCCTCGCCAGCACGAACTGCTCCCAGAAAGTCGGACGCATCTGCCGCCCCGTCTACCCCATGCTTGTCACTAATAATAAATGTCGGCACGCCTCTATACCCCCCTCTCATGCGCCTGCTCAACCTCGCTGTCGACCTGTTCGCCGCCGCCGCTGCCCTCTAGCCACGCCTTCGTCTCTGCGGCCTCAATACCAGCCGTTTCTGCGCCGCTAGCCAGATCATCCCAGCTAGTAAAATCGCCGCCCCCCTCGAAGGACATCTCCATCGCAGCCATCGCCGCACGATCCTCCACTTCTGCGCCCTTTGTTCTCCCCAGCTGAATCACGCGATGCGAGTCGCGTGTATTGCCAACCCACCCGCTAAACGTAGATGTGAAGCCCTCCTGAGCGACGGGCCTGTCGGCGCCGAACTTTTTGGCCGCCACGTCTGTGACGAGGACCGATTCAGCAGAGAGGTTGACGTCCAGGCGGCAGGCGTGCCAGCGGATTTTGAAGGTCGACGAGGATCCGCCGGGGATTGTTTTTCGGTAGAGCATGATGGCGCGCGAGAGACGGGCACGGCCGAGGTAGCAGAAGGGCAGGCGGTGTCTGAAATGATGGTGATCAAGATAGTCATGACGGAGTTGGCCTTCCATTGTGATGGGGTTTACAGATACGATGGGGGGGTTGTGCAATGAGGTCAAGTATGGGCTGCAGGAACCCCTTTGGATCTTAAATTCTCGGATCCTTTCCTTGTACATAGCAACAATTACCACTGTAAATTCAAATCACCCCACGATTGAACAGCAATCTCTCTGCCTAGACGTCTCCGATGTTGCGTGTCATCGTGGTGAGGCGGAGCTCTGCTGGTGTATCTGGTCCTTGGAATAAGGCCCAGGTAACGAAGCAAGCGGGTATTCGCCCAGAGGCACATTACTGTAAGTAACTGATGATCAAAGTTTGTGTATAAGTCATCATCCAGGGCATCGCTAGGGTATCATGTGCAGCTTTACAAACGCCGTGTCCAAAAACCCGCCCATTATGCCGTCCGTCTAGTTTATCTACTTCTCCGCCTGTTCCGCTCAGCAGCACGTCTCGATGTATAAGACTCATGTTTCGCGGACCGCCGTCCTCGGGGACGGTAAAATTCACCTCCACGCCTGGCCCGATATCTATCCGCATCCTCACCATGCCGCGTTGAACTATCCTCGCGGTGCACATCGTTTCTGGGCGCCTCACCTCTGGGCTCTCTTCTCCCAACGTCTCTCTCGTACTGTACAGCCCTATCCCAATCCTCAAGCTTCGTAAAGGGACTCCGCAGCCAAGCACGTAGCTCGTGCAAAAATAGCCTTGTATTCTCCCTCCCCAGGAAGTCGGACAGCATATCCTCCGCCTGGCCGCCGCTTCCCATGATATCCACAGACTTTAGGATAGCAATGATGTATTCTAAAAGAAATTCCGCATTATTAGCACGGCGATGCTGTATGGTTGTCCTGGAGCCAGTATGTGCGGGCTGCGATGTGCTTCCGTCGTCGTTTTCGCCTTCGTCATCAGGCGAGAGGAACGAAAAGACTCGGAGTTCTCGCCGGATCCACATCCTCGCACGGGAAATTAGCTCTGCATCTGAACAGAACATCTGTGGTGTCAATTCGCGATAGCGAGAGAGGCGGTTAGACCCGACATGTTTGGAGTATCGTTGGTGGCGGTACACGTCTCGTCGAGCAGCGACTACGTTGGAGACAGTAGTCGATCTCCCTTGGTTGCGAAATGGTCTGCCTCTTTGTCTTGTGCATCCAAATCTTCCTCTACGTCCGTAATATGCGGAACCATCGGATCTTGTTATTGTGGAAGTGCTGGTGGTGGCGGCTGTAGAAGGCTTTTGACTGATGAAGGTCGTGATGGGATCTTGGGCAGGTCCATGCAAGACTTTGACAACCTTGGCTTTACAGAGGGGGCATTGCGGTGTCTCAAACAGCCAGCTCGACACGCAGATGTAGTCAAAATTGCGGTGGCCGCACGGCAGCGCTTCGCATGGCTCTGTTATGACATCGAGACAGATGACGCAGCAATCGGCTGCATCTTCTTCCCTCGCAGCTACTTCGTTGAGAGTGTTTTGAAGGACACGGCGCTGTAGATCGTCAGTTCTTTGGTCTTGCTCTTTCTCCATGGCGATTTGCCGCAGAGATGTGACGAGGCAAGGTCCAGCAGGTGTCCTGGCGAAGAAATAATGTCCGCATAGATCAATGGTGGTTCGAAAAGGATGGACATGAAGTCTGGTTGCTTTACATCGCAGTGGCGAGGATTCAACGGCAAAAGTGGGGCCAAAGGTCCACCACAATCCAGAGACGTCACGTCATCTTCCGTGACGTCTGGTCTGGTGAGAGCCGCCGTAGCTTCAGCACCCTCCGGCACTAAAAATCGCGTCGCCCTGCTAAAATGGGGTCCGGCGAGACGCGTTTTCACGACGCGCAGGCGGACATGGACCGAGTCGCCAGACCACACAACGCTCCAGCATGCAACCCACAATGCTGTCTTATTCCAAGCACCTCGCTCAATATTTGCATGTGAGACTCTGCAAAGCACATATTTGCGAGTGATCATGGACGACGAGACTAGATCTCGGTACGAAAACAAAGCAAAGGATCTGAGAACGGAGCTGAAGGCTTGGGAGAGCGAGTGGGCACAAGCACACGGCGGGAGCAAGCCTGGGCGACAAGACATCAAGGACAATCCCGATATTGGTATGTGAATTTTTTATTTTTTTTATTTTTTTGGCATACAGCGGATGGTAGATGCTAACGGTTGATAAATGTGGCAGCACAGAAATACAAAGACTACAACAAAGCCCGCGACATTCTCTCCGGAAAGCAGCCACCACCGGCAAAATCAGAACCGAAACCCAAGAAGCGGCAACCAGATCCAATTCTTACAGAGACGCCACTTAAACGAACCAAGTATGCCCAAACACCATCCAAGCAACGAACTCACGATGAAGACTTGATGAATACACCCGCTATATCAAGAAAACTATTCAGCCCTGCACCAGTAACATCCCTCGGTCCCACCCCTCAGCGTGACGGCCGCGTCCTAGGCCTGTTTGATCTTTTAGTTGAGAAAGAGCTTGGCACACCATCAAAGAAGAACATATCAAAACCATCCGGTACACCAGGTCGATCTCGTGGCAATCTTCAGTCTACGCCTAGCAAGCGGACTGGCTCCTACGACCACGAAAGCAGCACCAGGCTCGGCAGAACGCCCATGTCCTCGAGTAAGAGAAACGTGTTGAATACGTTTGCGACGCCAAGGAAGACCCGACGGGGCAGTCTAGATGCCAAGACACCATCATCCGTATCCAAGCTGCAATTCGATACACCTGCTTTCTTGAAGAGACACACCCTGCCCGCGGTCGACGAGAATGCCATGTTTGCCGACCCATCGCCACTCCGACTACCGAGGAAGCCGCTTGTTCGGGGATTGAGTGAAATTGTAGCTAGTCTAAGGAAAGTTGAGGATGATGTGCTCGACGATGACGACGATCTGGATGCTCTTCGGGCAGCGGAGAATGAGGATACGGATATCCGTAGGCCAACGTCTCCATCGTTGGGCACGCGACAAGCATCAGATCCCGCGGCAATATCCACCCCAGCAATTGTGGAAGATAGCCAACGACCAGCATTGTTAGGAGGCTTTGACGACGAAAACATGTACGACAGTCCCGTTGAAGACGCCGTCGACCACAACGGCAACCCTCTGCCGGTATACAAGAAGAAAGGACAAAAGAGAACAACGCGCAAGGTCAATATTAAGCCAACACGAATCAAAAGGCCAGAGAACACTCCCAAGGATGGAAATGGCGATGAAGATGGAGAGGACGTGATCCCAGAAACGCAACTCATCAATGGTCCCGACGCAGATTTCGCGGACGTCGCATCAGGTAGTGATTTTGAAAACGAAGAGCCGGCCAAATCGACAGATAAGCCAGCAAAGGCGACTAAGAAAGAAGGGGCCGTGAAAAGGGTAGCAAGGAAGGTGAATGAGCTTGCTCACGCCAATTTCCACCGGTTGAAATTGAGGAATAACGGAGCCAAGGGAGGGCCAGGTTATAATAGCAGGTTTCGGCGTCGACAATAGAGGGCAGACTCGACGGGAGTACTTGATGTGTTATGAGATTACGATTTCATGGGTTTTTTTCTAGCGTTGGGCATTACAACGGAGCGATTCAGGGGAGATTTACTGCTTGTGGACGGTGTAGCGAAGGCAGCCGCGAGTAATCTGGAGTTAATACGTATTATCAATTTATGTTTTGGTGGTCCATGCAATATTCACTTGCGCCTGAATAATGAACATTGTGTGTGTCCCAACTTTTTGCTTGTTTATCTTATTATCCCCAAAATCTAGCAACTATTAAAGCAAAAGGGTTAAATTTAGGGCCATTCGACTGGAAAGTCGGTTTCGTCAAGTTGCTTTTCTGTTGTGTCAACTTACAGCGAACACTACACTTTAACTCTCAGGCGTCATTTCTTATTAGGAATGTTGTAATTGCACACCTCTTTTCTCATTACTACCCAGCGATTCATACTTTCAAAGTCAACTGTATAAGCGTCCTGAGAGCTATATAGAGCGCCTGAGCGCTGGCTTCTTCCACTAATCCAATATGTCACCGGTAATCCTCCAATACCAATAGCTCTCATCCTTCACATCATAACCTCTTCACTTGACTTTACGCGTTTTCTCAGTTCGAGAGGTAGTTGTAATGCTGCGGGGCAACATTATGACTTCCGTTTGTAGTTTTACAGTGTATTCTCACTTTTCGCTCACACTCTGTTTGTTCATGAATTCTTCCACATGGCCTTTTTCTTTTCCGGTTCACAATTAAGAATCGTTGTTTCTCTTTTTTTACAAACTATCCAACTACCATTACAACAGTTATGATTGGTCGCATTATCAGCACGCTTCCCATTCCAGACCCTGGCTACGTACGTCATATCTACCACAGCTTTATCGACTAACATGAGAAGCGAACTCGAGGCCTCTGAGACTGAACACGATACCCCCGTCTTAAAAGAGACTCTTGATACAGAGGCCGTATGGGCTTGCGAGAATGACTCGGCATCCTGTCAAGATGACTTGTCGCAGTGGTCCGAGACGCTGCGGGCAAGCTCATCGTCGCCGAGTGTCTTCTCCGAGGAATCCTCCAACTTGGCAGTAGAAATACCAGACTTTCAATTGTCCTCGCCTCGCTCCTGCTACGAGCCGTTTCACCCACCTGCTCCCCCAAAGTCTGAAGAAGATGCCTTGGAGTGTTTCGGCCTGTCTGTACAACGTCAATCTTCACCCTCTTCTGGCCATTTCGAACTACAGCTGGATGAATTTGCAGTCTACTTGGACACGGAAAACTATCCGTGTGAAATGCGCTGCCTGCATCACCTCTATGCTAGACCCGGCTATAGCAACTTCTTCTTCGACGGAATTCTGAGCAACAATGGACAAGGCAAGACGTTTATGAAACGAATTCCAATCAGCGCGGTTCCAGTGGGACAATACGGCCTGCAGTATCATAGTGTGGGCAATCAGATCTGGCTACAGTCCACGTATTGCGACCAGAGTGACATCTTCTATAAACTCTGCCTGCCTGCAAGGGAGTATCGCCGCTTCT